CTGCTGTTCCAGATTCGCTCCCTGGACTCTCCACCTTGACTTCACACCCGACTCCTTGCCTGCTGCTGCCTCTGCAGGGTTTGATCCAATCACCTCAGCTCTAATGCCATTTGGTGCTGCTTATCTCGCTCGGTGGGGAGCTGATGCTCCACCAGTCTCACACAGGTCTGGCACCAGCCCCCAGGGATTTCACAACAGCCCAGGGGAGTCTGAAAAGGTGTCAGACATCAATGGGCAGGCAGCTGGACTGCACCCCAGGTGTCCAAAGCCTGAGTGTCTGCCTGAGAGCAAGGTGTCTAAGCTCTTGGTACAGGCAGGAAGGATCGTAAGACCATATAGTTAATGGGGTCTGGAGACCAATTTGGCTGACCAAATGCTGGGACCAATCTCAGGAAGAAAGTAGCTTGCTAGGTTCAACCAGCTGTATGGGCTTGGTCTTCCTTGTCTACCACTGGAGTTTAAGCTGTATCTCACATTCAGGCACTATAATTTAGGCAAGCTAAATCCCACCTATGGTGACTAAAAGGAGAAGAAATAAATACATTTATGAGAAAAATATCAAAATTATCAGTCTTTGTGTTAAAAATTATGATTTTCATCTGAAAGGTATAGAAAGGCAAATGCTCTGTGGATATTTAAAATTCAGTCACTGTGTCTGTACATGCAGTCACACACTCCAAGAGTATTACATGCACTCTCACAAAACACATCCTTTGTTTATAGTCATATGGATTTACAAACACTCCCTGGAAGAACAGGGACACACTCATTGTATACAATATATTTTTTACTTCTGTAAACTGTTAATGTAGAATTATAAATAATAATTTGGGATAGTTCCTATATGATTTTCTGCATTCTGTGATTCTATCTCTCTGAGTAAATGAAAATATTGGTAGTGTAAAATAATGATCTCTTTTTGCCCAGTCTCCTCTGCTCAGTTCTACAGCATTGTTATATCCTCCTCTGTTGCCATAGAAATGATTGATATGTCCAACCATTGCATTCTTGCCATACCCTTGCCTCTACATATTATTTATTTTGCCCTCAAAACCAGATTCTTGGTTGGCTTTTTGATATTTTGGGTTATGTTCTGCAGAGACAATAAAAATGAAACACACAAAGGAAAAAAAAGAAAAAAGAAAACTTTGGCTTTGAGAAGACTGAAATGAATTCAAAAGACTGAAACTAATTCAAAAGTTACCTGTATTCACACTGTGAATATCCATGATTTTACTGTAAACCTCTGACATTTGTTGTTCTTATTAACTCGTAGCTCTGGCAAACAATGACTTTGTGAGATTCTTAGCATCTTCTCGTGCAAAACAAGTATTTGCAGTGTTTAAAGCTTCCTAGCTACAGAATGTTAAACACAAAAGAAATTTAAAGATCTGCCTTTTGGGGGGGCCTGCTGATTTTAGGGGGAATGAATTATGATTTTTGCAGGTTTGGGTTTCCCTCTCAAGAAAGAGGAAGAAAAAAAGAACTAGTCAAGCATGATGACATGATGCAAAAAATAGCAGTCAGAATGATTAATTTAATTTTGCTTCACATGTTTCAGAACTTACTAATGCAAGCTGGCTACTTCCAGACTCCGATGTCCATTCCACAGCACTTTATGACTCTAGGAAATACCCTGGGGCTGCCTGGACTTCCTTTTCACTGACTTCCACTTCCCCCCAGCAGTGCCCGCAGGGATAGGGCACCAGGCATGCTCCCCCTTCCCTAAAACCTTTCCCCCCGCCCCAGTCCTTGGCTCAGAGCCCCACGAAGGTCCTCACACATTCCCTGTACATCCTTACACGGGAGAGAGGGTTTTCTGTTCACCCAAGGCACGATGCACGATTCTGTTCATCCTGCAGCAGGAGTGCATTCAGCCCGGAGCAGAGGACCCAAGGCAGGCCAGGGTTTGGGACAGGGGGCTCCATGGCTTTGCACCCCTGCTCCTCCTGCTGAGATTCCCAGCGTTTGCTCCGCGCCCCAAAGGATGGCACCGCCAGTCCCAAAAAGCGCTTTCGGGGCAACCGAAACAACTTCTCAATCTCCTGCCTTTTTCGGGGACTTCACATCCCGAAGCTGCCTGTAGCACCGATGTCTGTGAAGTGCCACTAGGTGGCCCGGGATTGAACCTTCGCAGGCAACAGCTTTCAGTGGGATGTGCGTGTGTGGGGGCAGGAATTTGGGAATTATCCTTGGGCGGTGCGCACCACCCTCAGCGCTTCTGGGATGTTTAGATCTTGGTTGCAGATGCTGGAGGAGGGAAAGGGGCATCCCAGCAAACCCTCTGAAATGGGAACGAGCTCATTCTTATTTCTCACGTGAAATGAAACACAAAGTTTTTCTCTTGAGAATTGGGACTGGGGATAGCCTGGAGCCTAGTAGAACTCCCCAGAACACCAGCCCCGCCGCCGCCCCAAATAAAAATGTGTATTGTTCTTCTCTTTTAAACTTTTTCAAAGGCAATTGTTACCAACATCAGGGGCTTATTTTGACACAGGTTAGCTTTGAGAACTCACCATGGATGAGACATACTGGAGGAGAAAAGGGCTTTCACATGCCCAGCAGATGACAAGGGTGATCCAGAGGCATCAGTTTTATGTCTGTCACCCCCCTAACCTCTTTCTCAGAGGTGCCCTGAAGTCATGGATTACTCCCCATTTCTCACTTCCCTCCATACCACACCGCTGTGTTTTCTGCCCCTTCTTGCTCACTCCCATTCCGGGGTGCTCCGTGTCCCCCTGCCTCACTGATACCTATCTGGGCATCGGACCTGCGGTTTGGCAAACACCCCCTGAGGCGGTGGAGGGACATCTCCCACCCGCCTCCCACCCGGAGCTGCCCCAGACCCCTGGGGCCGTGTGAGAGGATGCTGCGGGCAGGAGCCGGGAGGAGCAGGGAAGGCGGGATGCACGGCCCAGCACTGCCTGGAAAACCTCGCCCGGCTCCCTGGAGAGGCCAGGGCTGAGTTTGTCAGGGTGTCAACACCTCAAAGGCGAGGAGGAGGGGGAAAGAGGAGGTAGAAACATCGTTGAGCAAGAAGGTGCAAGTGGGTGCCATCAGCCGGTTGTTTGAGCTACAAACAACTGCAGAGATGCTGGGAGCTGTAGCTATGCCGAATAGTTGGCCCATCCACCTCCTGTGTTGTTCCCATTCCACCTTCTCTTATCCACAGTCAGCAGGGCTCTGGCCAGCAGTGCTTTCCCTGACATTTTGGATTTGACTGGAAAGCAACGCTAAACTATGACATGCAGGCAGGTGAACAAGCAACGCTGGCTAGTCAAGCATGTGGTCAAACAGACCCTGACAGCAAGTCAGATGTGTCCCCCCACACCCTCATGTGCCGTAAAAATTCCTCATTTCGGGTCAGAGACAGCAAAGGTGAGCAACACCAAAGTGTTCAGCCAGCTCTTTGGGGGTACAGAGTGGGGAAGTTTCATCTGGCTTCTGCACGGCAGCTACCAGAGCTCCTGCCAGCCATTGACAAATTAGAGGCTTGTTTTAAAGTGTAAAAATACACTTATTCTCAACTTTGCTTTTATTGAGAGAAAAGGGATAAAAACCTAATTCATAAGCCCCACCTAAAGCCTCTTCCCCAGTGTTGGCTCTGCCTCAGCCTCCCTCCCCACAAACATTACCTGCCTTCCCCCCAGAGGGCTCCTCCTGTCTTCCTCGTTTTTAGGGTGGAGGCTAATAAGCTCCCCAATCCTGGTAAGTCAGTATTAATTAACCTGCAGATCCCTGCAGGCTTCCAACACCTGCTAACAGAGAACGCAGCCAGGCTCTCACGGTGGTTTTTTGGATTTTTTTTTTTTTTCCACACAGCAGCCTTTAGCACCTGGAATAAGGGAGGGTTGTAAGTTCTCACTTTGCCTGGGTGGCTTACAGTGAGGTAAAAATAAGGGGGGGGAATAATATTTTGTACTGCCTGCTTCTTTCATTTTTTCTCTCTTCCTTTTTTTGTTTTTTGTTGTTTTTTTTTTT